GCGAGGAATGCATATAGGATATTGGTGGGAAAGCCAGAAGGAAAGAGACTACTGGGAAGACCAAGGTGTAGGTGGGCATAGGCAAAAATATGTACAACAGACATCTACAGTATATTCAGTATCAGCAAATCATTATTCATACCATTCATTTTTTTTATTGCTAGTGTGGTGGGACTAAGTGCCTTGTAGGGCCGTGCCATAGCTCAAGCGGTTAGTCGCTGCCTTCCCACCGCAGCGGCCCGGGTTCGATCCTGGGACTGGTCAAGTGGGATTTGTGGTGGACAAAGTGGCACTGGGGCAGGTTTTCTCCGAGTACTTCGGTTTCCCTTGCCAATCTTCATTCCACCAACTGCTCCACAATCACCCTTGCCTATCATCTAGCGCTAGTACAATGGGCCAGAAGTAGCCGCAGTACAAGGGACTTAATCCCACCCCACTAGCAATAAAAAAATGTTGAAAATTAATTAAGATTAAAGTTAAAAGAATTTTAGAACTACGCCATTGTGTGTTTGGGTTCGTATTAAATTGTCAAGTTACATACTGTTGAATAAATAGTTGAAGATAGTTGTGAATTCCCATCTTGATTCTTCTTTGGTATTGCAGGTATGCTGTAGTTGTGGGTGTGGTTGTAATGTGATGATCGAGAAAGGGATAGCCAGTGTACCATTAGATTTGTCAAATAAGCATTCTCAACCATCTTGAACTATTAATCAATAAGTAACTTGACAATTTAATACCAACCCATACACACAAGGGTGTAGTACTAAAATTCTTTTCACTTTAATCTTCATTAAATTTAAATTATCAACTAACTTCAGTTTTAATTTAATATAATTTTATACCAATATGGCTTAAAGCCAAGGGGTATACAGACCAGAGGTTCACTACTAAGCAATACTCGCATAATCATACAGTCACCAATCACTCACTCATGGAGCTGAGCCCTTCTTCAGAAGATGCCAATTGTGCAGCTGCTCAAGAACTTCCCAGCATTTTATGGAACCCGAAAGTTTATTACCCCCCAATGGTCCCTGGTCCCTATCCTGAACCAGATCAATCCAATCCATCCCATCTTATCTCTCTAAGATCCATTTTAATATGGTCCACCCACATACGCCTTGGTCTTCCCAGTGGTGTCCTCCCTTCTGGTTTTCCCACAAATATCTTATATGCATTCCTCTTCTCCCCCATTCATGCTATATGTCTTGCCCATCTCATTGTCCTTGACTTGATCATTCTAATTATATTTGGAGAAGAATATAAATTATGAAGCTCCTCATAATGCAGTTTTCTCCAACCTCCTCTGTCACTTCATCTCTCTTCAGACCAAATATTCTCAACACCCTGTTCTCAAATGCACTCACTCTATGTTCCCCCCTTAATGTCAGAGACCAAGTTTCACATCCATACAGAACCACAGGCAAAATTATAGTTTTGTATATTCCAATTGTTATGTTTTTGGACTGCAGACGAGAAGACAAAAGGTTCTGGACTGAATGGTAGCAAGCATTACCCAAGTTCAATCTCCTCTTAATTTCCTCCTGAATCAGGTTCTGATCTGTTATCATTGTTCCCAAATATCTGAATTGTTCCACATTTTCGAAACATCTGTTTCCTATTTTTATATCATAACTTTACCCTGCATTTTGGTGACGAGACAGCAACATATATAGTTTTCTCAGTGTTTACTTCTAGACCAACCTCTTTACTTGTGTTAATTAAAGTTCGTGGTTTTTCTTTATGGTATCTACATTATCACCCAGTAGATCCACATCATCAGCACAGGCCAACAGCCGATGTGTCTTGTTTAATTTCAGTCCCACCTGGTTTCCATGGACCTTCCTAATGGCATATTGTAAAGTTGAAAAGGAGTGGCGATAGAGCATCTCCTTGTTTTAGACAATTCTGGATAGGAAATTTATCAGACAAATATTTACCTATATGGACTTTACTACACATTTCATTTAAACGTATTGTAATCAGCCTAACTAGTTTCATGGGTATCCCAAACTATACTGCACAATACTTTCCTCATAACTGAATCATAGGCTTTCTTGAAGTCTACAAATAGCTGATGTACTGTTTCATTGTACACCCATTTTTCCTCCAGTATCCGATGAATGCAAAAGATCTGATTCATAGTAGATCTTTTATATTGAAACCCACACTGATGATCCGCAATAATTTCATCTATATTCCTGAAGTACCATATGAAAACTTTGTTAGGAGATTTCAATGCCAAAGTAGGGAGGGAAGACATTTTCAAACCAATGACTGGGAATCACATGGTCACATATGAAGAAAAGTATGGATGCATATTGAAAAGAATTCAGCATCTAAGTACACAGAGATATACTGGATGATGATCCAATAAGGGTCAAAACATGTAGTGATTTAACATTAATGTAAATAACCTCTGTTATTACTTTTACCTGAATTGTTGTAGATTCAAAAGGGTTCTGATGATGTTGTATAACACTCAGAATTACTGGCATCTTGGGCTTTTTCCACTGTCCAGTGTTCTAGAAACCAGAGATTCACACAGCTATTTAATCACCTGAGACCAGGGTCATTCAGCAGAAGATAACAAAAAAATATGCATAAAAATTGTGATTGAGCATACACATGTAACTAGGCTAGAAAAGGAGGTAGAAATTGTTGCTACAAACCTAGCAAACAAAAGCAAGTGCATGAGCAAGAATGTAAAGAAATGGAAACATTTTTGTGAAGACTTGTATCTACCGTTAGCAGCATCCATGGAGTGAAACCTGAACACCCGAGATTAAAACCTTAGGGAAACTGACGCTGATCATTCTGAGCCCTTATTTATTTGGAAGATTATAGATGACATGAAATTTATTTTAATTAATTCTCGGTAATTTTTATTTCAAAAAGTCTTATGTTTCGATATTACTGGAAATGTATCGTGATCTTTAATATCGTATTTCATTGTCTGGGACTTGAAATACGGTGTTTATGTTGAAATTCCTAGATTTTGGCAGAAACAAGAAATCCGGAGTTATGACATTTATGATCAGTCANTGTATTTTAGCGTCCTGTTGCACTTATTCTCATCCATGATATGTATATATTGGCCGTCGCTCACAGCCAAAAAAGGACACATCACAAGACACAATATACACAAAAATAGGAAGAACGACTCCCATAGTGGAAGAATGATGCAGTACGCGCGTTTGAGTTAAGACAAGAAAGATGATGAATCTTAACAAATTTTGATATATATAAATTTTATTACAGTTAGATAATTTTATAAATGACACATGATGGCGAGCAATGGAATAGCTTGACGTAAATAACACACCTGAGGATGGCACAGTGATGCCGAAACTTGTAGTGAAGTGACATGTGAGATTGAGTGCACTAGAAGACGGCCAATACATACATATCATGGACGATAATTTCAATTCTTCTACAAAACAGGCACATTCTCCAACAGGGTTCCAGAGGCAAATATCTTCTGGGATTGTAAATGGTACAAGGACCAATGGGCAACAGTGATGAACATCCTGTCTGAGTACAGCATAAAAGAATACCCAGTCAGCTACAGAGCTCTTAAGGCTAGAAGAAAAAGGATTCATGCAAGGTGTCCGTTGCCATGCACTCGGTAAACACGTTCCAACAATATGGGCTGTTTTATGTCCGTGGTCAGTGCAGAGGCTATATAACGACAGAGACAGAACAGATGAGAGTATCTGAGTGTTTAGTAACAGTAAGAGTGACAGCAAGGGGAAGTGCATAAAAGGACTGTGAAGAATTAAAGTGCGAGTTCAAGACTGTGTTTATGTGTAACACTGGGAGTGTGTGACCCACTGAGACTGTTGCCTGGAGAAGAATAGTCTGTGCATGCAACAGTGAATTATGACGTGTATGTAAATCAGTGATAGCACTGTAATTTGAGAGTAATGAAAAGGATCTGTAACCAAGCTGCTAACAAATCCAATCATCTGAACTGAAACCCGTCATTTTGACACGCGTACCACCATACATGTGACAATATGTAAGAAAAGAAAAAGAAGTAAATGTACAAAACAATTACAGTATACTCTCTGATTTAAGATGTACGAGTATATTAACAACTGCAGGGAGAGCACTGTAATAGAATAAGATGTTTACAAGACTGTAATACTGAGTGCCACATGGACATTACCTAGACCTTTTTTGTATTTACAATTATTGTTCACAATAACAATAAAAACAAATCACCAAAATGTTTCCATTTCTTTGCATTAGTGCTCATTCACTTGGTTTTGTTCGCTAGGTTTGTAGCAACAATTTCTACCTCCATTTCTATCCTACTCCTGCACATGTGCATGCTTTATCATGATTTTTATGCATACTTTCTTGTTATCTCCCACCAAATTAGCCTGGTCTCAGGTGATTAAATATCTGTGTGAATCTGACAGGGGTTGTCAAGTGACTGAGGTTAGCTCTTCCTAAGGGAACCAACTGAGTAGGTGTCTCCTGCTCATCTGAGGATGGAAACATGTCCAGTTTCTGAAATGTCATATATTCTAGTTTCTAGAATACTGGGTGATGAAAAAAGGTAAAAAACCCAGTAATTCTGACTGAATTGTTGTGCTGATGGATATAAATATACTGTTTTGAATGACACACAACAGGATGCAACATGTAAAGACTGACACAGGAAGAACAATTTTTGTGTGAATCACTGCTTCATATGTTAACAATTGCAAACATGGTGACTGTGCAAACATTTGAGGTTTACTAGCAGAAATATATAAACAGACAGAAGTACCTGTTCTTCCCTCAGGGCATGTTTGCTTTGCTTCTTAATATCACAGTATAAGTTTAAAACTTTTAATGGAATAATATTCAAATTAAGAAATTGAATTTTACTCGCATAATTAAATGATACTGGGAATAAGGATCTGAATCACATCCAGGAACTTGGCCACAAAACTTGCACATCACTTTAAGAGTCATGGTTATTGTATACACTGGCAAGAGCATGGAGTGAATCTCGTACTTTCAGGTGTTCTTTATTAGGTCTGAGGTATGGGACAAGAAGAGGCAGAAATCACATTTATATATTTGAAATGGTAAAAATTATGAAGTCACAGTTTCTGCCAGCCTCACCATACAAAATGAAATCTCAGAAGGAATATCCAAGCCGTAAGTTCTATCCACAATTTTGTGTTGTCACCTTCAGGACATATGTGGCAAAGATGTGTTTGCAAATTTCCTGCACAAAACTGGACCAGTAATTGCAGGGTGTCTACATGTGTCTCATCAGGTTTCACTGTCTTTCATTCGCTCTTCTTCTCCACGACGTCTGGCTGAGACGAAGTACCTTTCTGTGGGTCACTCAAGTCATCGTCAAATGCTTCCAGTGATATGTCCATGATCTCCTCTGTTTCACTGTCATCCAGCATTGCCTGAAGTTGGTGAATGGACGCCACCAGAACGTGGAACTGTTTCCGTCGCATGTCTAGCTTACGTTCCAGCTGTTCACGTGTCTCCTGAAATGTTGCAGAGAAATTACATAATGAGCAGCTTCACAATTATCATTCTTTCTTTGATACTGTTTTGCTTAGTGGGGGGTGGAGTCTACTTGGGTCCACTTGGCATGGCAGCCACTGACTGGCCTATTGTACCTGCTCTGGGTGATTATGATGGAGAATTTGGTGGAATGAAGATTGGCGGGGGAAACCAAAGTACTCGGAGAAAACCTACACCAGCGCCATTTTGTCCACCACAAATCCCACTTGACCAGACCCGGGTTTGAACCCGGGCCGCCGCTATGGAAAGCCAGCAACTAACCGCTTGAGCTATGACGTGGCCTTCGATACTGTTAGTCATTACATGAGCAACAGTGAGCTGGAGAGGATTTGAAGCATGTATGAGGACCAAGTGATGAATAATCAATTTTCATCAAAACCCTCATGGAAAGAGACCAGATGGTAGAATAAGAATTAGGTGGGAGGATTCTTATCATTATAAACAGCCTGATCAAGACCTACCAGCAAGTTCCCACTTTTCACCAGCTAAATAAGAAGGAAGACTGTGCCATGTGGTCAGTTACTTTTATAAACTTAGTAGTACTTAATGCCTGGACTTTCCAAACAGAACACATTTTAGGAACTGGATCTGGTTGTCCTCAGGTGAACAGATGGGGAAGCACACACTCCACTCATTCTGTTAGAGGGAGCTAATTTCTAACGTAGGACCTTAACAGGTGCCTGCACACCTTTCCATCTGAAGACAGAAACGGGTTCAGTTTCCACAAGGCTCTGTTCCATTCAAAATACCAGACAACAGACAGAATAGACACCCAGTGATCTTAAGAATAATATTCCATTATCAGAACAATTTACAATTATTTAGAACTTGGTCAGGATGGTGATTAGTCTTAAATTTATTTAACAATATTTAATCTGCATAAGTTGAGGGTTTGCACTGCATTCATCTGGCTCAACACAGGGTTCTATAGCAGTTCTTGTGAACACCACAGTGAACCTTTTCGGTGTATAAAAGGTGAGGAATTTTTTGGCCAGCTCAGCAGCTATGAGCTGCTGAAGAAAGACTTAGGTTCATCGGTTAGCAAAACTGAAAGGATTATGGGAGAATTAACCTCAAGTGAGGCCAGCTCTTTCCGCAGATGGGATAGCTTTTCGTCCATTTCCTTACGATCCGGCTGCTCATTGATAACCTTGGCCAGCACATCATATTCAATCCTGTTCTTCCGAACTGTCTTTGCATCTTGGAAGTCTAACTTTGTGCTCTCAATATTTCTCTTTGCTGCTTCTATCCCAGACTCAATCTGCCGTGACAGGTTCTCATAATTCTGAAGTTCAGCCGCACTCATCAATGCAGATAATCTTGACTTTGTTACAGCAAATTCACACTGTGCAAGCTGAGCCAGCATCCGGTCATGTAGAACCTGGCTGTACAATAAACATTAAAAAATGAGGTTATGTTGGCACAACTGCAGGGAATTAACAGTACACTTGGTAGTCGACTTACGACCGACTTCTGTCCTGATTCACAGGTCATAAGTCGATCTGGTCATATGTCGGCCATATATTTACTAACAGTATTTTTTAACATTTATAATTTTTATAATTTATTTTTAAAAACTTTTACATTCTAATCATCTTTTATTTTTCATTCTTTGTGATCGTATGTCGACAACCAAGTGTATTTCAATTTATAAACTACCCATACCTGACACTTCTCAATTTATTACTTATTAAGCAATTCTTGAAATTCCCTATTGTTATGGAACCAGAAGGTTCATCACCTTCACCACAAAAGTCCAGTCACCATTAAATTCAAGATCAGTTTAATCTACTTAACACCTTCACAACATATCACCATAATTCACATTAATATTATCTTAGAGTGACACCTAGATCCCCCATCTTACCTGCATAAAATATAAAACTCCTACTTCCCACCCTCTGTTTATAACTAATATCATAACACGACAGCATACACAGTTTGTAACCATCATATGCCCAAATTCTTCATTATCAGGCAGATTTTCAAGCTAATCAGAAATGCAGAGTGCTCAATGAGAGTTTGATTTAGCAATCAATTACAGCATATTCTGTTTGTAAACAGTTGTACTGAATTAGACTTTTAGAGGTGTTGAATTACTTACACATAATTCAGTTGCCGATTAGGCAAAAAATGGAACCTAATGTGCTTGCAGACAGGACAGCCCTATCATCAATGTGGAATGGGAATAGACTGAAGTTATTATAGTTTATGTAAGATATTCATCATAGTTTGATTTGATTCAGTGTGACCAGATGTACATTTTTTACGGGAGTTTTGATGTCCAAGCATGTTTTTCTGCTAAACCAATAAAATGCCACCTTTTCCAAAATTTCTTTCTTATGCATGAACACCTTCAATATTTCTTCTCGTTTGAGACAAAACTGTAAGTTTATGAACATTCACTTTTGGAGTGCCCATAAGTCAGAAAAAAAAAAGAGAGAGAGAGAGAAGTTGGCTTTTGTTTTTGAAATTGTAATTGTCACATGCAGGACGTCTGAAATGCTTTTGCATGGCTATGTGCCTGCACCTGCAACAATCGTAGAACTGTATCATGCTATAATTATCCCCAATTATTTACTTTTGCATTCAGATATTTTCTGGAATTTTGTAACAGTATGCTCTATCAGTAGTTACACTTCCTAGCACAGAGAAAAGCGCCAACCAATCATTGTGCTTGTGCCCGCATTTTGCAAAAGTTTGTTGTGTAAACATATGTGCAGTTTTGCAGTTTTTGACAAATTTGTGTTGATTTTCCTACTGCACAAGGATAAGTATACATTTTTGTGTTTTTTTTTACTAATGATATGCCCAATTTAACAGTGAACTTCAAAAAAAATTTCCTTGCATCAAAGATGGGAGAAACAAAAATGGAATGCTGCATTATATTCAAAAATTTTCACGTCTGTAGCAAACAAAGTCGGTAATTATTTGAAAACACACAATAAGTACGAAATGCACACGAGAAAATCCAGATGTCATAACAGTCCAAAGGTCAGTGATTTCTTATTACACAGCATTCAAAAACAAAAGAATGGGGAACAACAACTGAAGGGGTACTGTGCTTTCATGAAGCATGACAGTTATAGTTTACACTGAATCTTATATTCGCTCTCAAATTCTGGTGCTGTCTGGCTGCATATGAATCATTCACATGCGAAACGTAACTAACCCCTTTCTGAAAAGCATGTTTCTACCTTTCACCAAGAGGTTCATTTGTTGCATTACACCACTTAATAAAAGATTTCAGCAGAACATTAAGTCTACGGTCATCGCCAGTTCCATCTCCATCGATCAGCAGCCGTCGTCTGATTACGTCCTCTGCAATTCAAATACACTTAAAAGACGATAATTACACAAACTATATAAAAAACTTTTGCTGCAAACAATGCTCTCATTAAAGCATAGCAATGAATTCATTTACCGTCACCCATTCCCTCTATTTCACAACACAGATCAAATACTATTCAACGTTAACCACTTCCTCCTGCGTTCGCTACACCACTCACCACATGCCTGATTGCTTGATTGCCTGATCGCCTAATTGTCGTCCTACATGCCGGTCATGTCTACCAACTTACACTTTAAATTTTTAGTCATTTTCATAAGCTGGTGCATATCAGGCTTGTTTTGTTGACATCCAAAGCGATCAAAATGGCCTCGGAATAGGCGCACAGGACAGCTGCTTCCATCTAACGCCATAATTGTAACGGGGCTGCCCTAGACCTAGACGACATAGACGCCCTAGACAATTGTACCGCCGTGCCGGCCGGTGCCGGCAATGGACACATATGTGCCAACAGTTAGCCGGGAAGTCAAACACGTCTGTCAGAAGAAAACATTACGATTTCTTTAAATATGAACAGGCATATAAACCGTCATTATGACTAAATATGCTATTCCAAATTGATTTCTGTGCTTACCTCATATAGGTATAGTCATAGGCGAAGGAAGTGTGTGTCCATTTGGATAAGATACGTTAAGAAACTGAACCGACTAGGCGTAAAGTTGAATCCTCAATGTAACACAGCGAGGTAAAAGGTAAGATGTTTCATAGCACTATTTGGAAGCCAGAATTGCTGTTAATTCACTACGTAATGTGGCAACATCTGTAGCTACTCTTCATTTTGCGAAGCCATGTAAATAAATATAGAATAATAACAATATATCATTATGATCCCATTATTCTAAATGTGTGACATCCACTAGGGTAAGCACAACAGACCACTGTAGGTCGCGGTGCAAGGGCCGGGAAGGCCTACCCCTCATACATTCATTCATATCCACTAGGGTTATGACATGTAAAACTGTAAGCTAAGGCACAAAGCGAACCCTTCCTTCTTAGGTTGGTATTGAACTGTCATATATCTAACGATACCACCTATGCAGTTTTATTTAGGTCAGTGGTTTTCGTAAATTACTGAAATTTAATCAGAATTGTCAGGGCCATTTTCAGGAAAATCCTTTTTTGTGTGTGTGTCTGTGGGGGGGGGTCCATCTGAAGTGCTTCTGTTTTTGGATCTAGAATGTTTATTTTCACTGGGAACTAACCTGTGATGGATAAACTCTTAAATACTGAATACAAAAAACATCAACAGTTCAGATGCTAGCAAGGAATATGAACAGTAACTAGGAACTACTTCTCATCTATTGACAACAGAATAGTAGAATAACGAGTTGCATGAAAAATATTCGTAGCATATTACTGAAAAAGAAATGAGAATGTAATTTTCCATGTCCTGGTTATGTAGCATTGAAATTTGTTGAGCTATAGATATAATAATTCTTCTACAGGTACTAGTCTGTTGTGATGTCTTCAGGTAGAAAAAAAAGATCAAAATTGAAGCAAACTGAATCACCTTTCACTAGACCTCAAGAAATGCAGCCTGAAAGTCTTTCTTCTCCATGTGATGAATTAAAGAAACCAGAAACCAACATTGCATCTCAGGGAGACACAGAACCCCAGAAACGGAACAGAGTAAGTTCATATATGTGTGGGTTCAACAAAACACAAAGCAAAGCCCCATCTCAGAAGGCTGAGAAACATGATGGTATGAATATAGCTGGTTTGCCTTTGGTTAAGGTCAAAATACCAAAAACCAAATCACAATCTAAAAAAATTGATAAATGTGGATATTCAAAAATAGCTGGTTTACCTACCTTAGAATTAAGAGAACTAAACACCACCATCCAACCCTTGAAATATAACAAATGTACAGATTCTAGAAGAGAAGGTTCACCTACATTTGAAGTTAAGGAAGAGGCAAATACAGCTCCATGTGAACAGACACAAGACTGTAATGACTTAGAAATTATGGCTAAACATCGGTACCATTTGACAGATCTACAACTCAAGGAACCAGGCATGTCATTTCAGAAATCTGTCCATTGCATGGATGTAAGTAGGACAGATTCATGCTTCAGAGAATTTGAGAGACTGAAACAACGAATTTTTGAGTTAGACAATGAAATAGTAGTGTTAACTGAAGCAATTGGCAATGAGATAGGATTAACAACCAATATGCAACAACTTCATGAATACAATACCATCAAAGATATAACTCAGATTATTATAGGCAGCTTATCGAATATATTAGATGTTCCTGTAACACAACTGCATCAGGAATTAAATCTCACATTTGAAGAGTAGCACTAAAAAATAGACATATTGCTATTGTCATTTCTACAATTCTTTGTAATATCCAGACAGTAACTTCTAAAACCATCATGCTCACCCTATTCAACAGACCTTTACAATTAAGTTATCAAACTTTTTTTTTTTTTAATTCTTTGCAGTATTTAACCAGTAGAATTAGAAAGTGATACATTCCATTATTTTGTAACTGAATTTTCCAGTGCACATCTGGGAATTTCTCCTTGCCAAAATAGATTCAATTTAATTTATAAAAATCTTATTCCAACCTGATTCTGAAGGTCAACTGAAATCTAGGGAATATGAATGTCACTGAATTAAGAATTACACATTAAAATACATTTGTTGAAATAACTTTCTATATCTGTAAGGTGATTGTTTAGTCAAATAAAACATGTTATGCACTCTTTGGTTATATATTTGTTTAATTGATAACCCATTCATTACTAACATAAGAGAAATTAGTTTTTTAAGTTGAAGTTAAAGTATTTTTTCATTATATTATTTATTGTTGCTATTCTTTAAAATACTTCTCGTTAATATGAGAAACTGTTGTGGGAGTACAGAATCCTCTGGATGTTAGTGTAACCACACTTGAGTAGTATTTTTTATTAATTTTCATATCATGCAAAAGACATTACAGTATCAAATATATCACCAGAGAGAATTACAAATCTGGTGATAACAATGGTTGAATGCTGCTGAGAAATGTAATGGTGTAGAATCTGACTATAGTCCACTTCCGCAGCAAGAGAGTTCTCTTTAATAATATTTGTGTTTTACAGTTCTCTGTCTACAGCTATATTGTTTTGAATTGTAGCAGGACTGTTTACAATATTATATTTAAGCATCCTGTTGCACTTTATACGATAAGTGATATAATGATACAAACTCTGTCCCAAGTGCAAACAATATATTATGTGACAACTGTTTACAATATTATATTTAAGCATCCTGTTGCACTCTATATGATAAATGATATAATGATACAATGATAATGATGTATGTATGTAAACTCCGTCCCAAGTGCAAACAATATATTATGTGACAACTGTTTACAATATTATATTTAAGCATCCTGTTGCACTCTATACGATAAATGATATAATGATACAAACTCCGTCCCAAGTGCAAACAATATATTATGTGACAACTGTTTACAATATTATATTTAAGCATCCTGTTGCACTCTATACGATAAAGGATATAATAAATGTTAAATTTTGGGCTGGGTGCAGTGTGACAGCAACGTGAGTGTTATACACCTGATGATGGCCGTCTGAGGCCGAAACATGTAGTGTGAAGGAGCAAGATCAAGGACACATAATATATTGTTTGCACTTGGGACGGAGTTTGTATCATTATATCATTTATCATAGCAGGACTGTTGAATAATGAATTAAGAAGGTTTTGGACAGAAGCAATCATTGCTTATTTGAGGTAACCTCAGGATTTGCCTTGAGGAACTGAGGAAAACCATGTGGAACCTGTCAGGATACCCAGTATCCTTGCACATTTGAACTGAGCACCTCCCAAATACAAATCTAGAGCACTAGCACACCAATCTTCTTGGTCTTAAGTGTTTCAAATCAATACGCACCCTAGGCAGCTGATCCTACTGGCAAACGCATTGCTGCACTCCAGCTAGTTTGACTTGCCGCTGCAGCTGGAGAAGGACAGCAGGCTGTTACAAGGAGACTCGACTGTGCAACTGCCCTTTTCAGGGCCAGCAAACTTTCATCGTAGCCACTGGGCTGAGCTGGCCGCAACGGAAGGAGTCGCTGCCAGTACCCTTTAGGCAAGCTTCCTGAACGTTTATTGTTACAGACTCAAGTTATTGTCCAAGCAACACTGACACCCACACGTATCACAGTACCTCATAAATCAAGGTTACTTTGGAGGTGTAGTTTGACTTTTAAGAGGCCTTGCAAAGTTGTATGTGCTCATCAGAGCAAAACATATGAGTACATGCAAGCATATATAACCATTTTTTGAGAATATATTTTGTATCTACAGTGGTATTCATATGAGTTAAGTTCCGCTGAAATGAACTCCAATCTTTTGATTCAACTAGTTCTTCAGACAACCAAAAGTGTAAACTACATAAAGACTAGTCCATTGTAGAGCTGATTTCTTGCAGAATTATGCGAGGAAATGAGGGCACAGTATCAGTGACTCCTGTTTTACTGTAAGTTGTTGCCTGTCAAGAAAAAATGTGGCTTGTGTTTACAACTTGCGAGAAGTGGCACTATTTTTAGAATAAGAAACTCTTGCACATGCTGAACATTTTTTTTTCTAAGTTAGAGTACTTAAGTGATATCTTTGAGAAATTCAATACACTCAACACAAGTATGAAAGGGAACAATACTAACATCACCATACTGACTGATAAAGTTAGGCCTGTGAGAGAAAAATAGAAGGGAAAAGTTTGAACATGTTTTTTCATTTGAAGGATTCTGTGGAGGAAAACAGTTTGGAAACACTGACATTCAAATTGATCAGCATATCAAAGACAATTTGGTTAATCTGCAGTCCAGGTTTCTAGAGTATTTTCCAGAAGGAGTAATTGATAAAAACAAGTAGAACAAGTATTCATTCCATGCTGATTCACCCAAACATTATGACTATTTTGACATTATATGTAATACTTCTTTAGAAGTTCAATTTCCTAGGAAGTTGTACAGAAAATTTTGCGTGGTTGTTGCAAAGGAGTTGCCTCAGCAGGAAAGCTCTGAACATCATCCTTGCTTTTGCAACATCCTACCTGTGCCAGAGGTTGCAGCCATCAGAACAAAGTAGTGTTCTCTGATGAACCCAGAAAACAGCCCTAGAATGGTCACTTCAAATTTCTAACCTCGGTATAAGTTACAGGGAGTGGACAAAGTAATGGAAACTCTAAGAAACCGAGGAATAGAATTAGTGTTGGCTCCATTCAAAGAACTTCAGTTGGCAACACTGAATGCCATTCTGTTTCTCTACACTCTGTAGTGCTTGTGCCAGTGCATTAGTGATTGTGTTGAATGAGGGTCTGTGTGAAATAATTGCAAAATGGGAGACTTGTCCAATTTTGAAAGAGGGCAGATCCTTGGTGCGAGTTTTGCTGGAGCATGTGACAAAAACTGCCACCTTATTAGGTGTACCTAGAGCAACAGTTTCTAAAGTTATGTCAGCATACACGAATCACAGGAAGACAACATCAATAAAGAGGAACACTGGGCAAAAATCAATACTGAAGAAAGAGATCATCATACGTTGAGGGATGTTTTGAAAAATCATACAATTACTGCAGTGGAACTTAATATTCATCCTGAAGGCTGTTTCCACAAAAACTGTCTGACATGAGCTTCACAAATCCAACATCATTGGTAAGGCTGCAACCGCTAAACCTCTGATTACTGAAACTAATGCTCAGATGCATAAATGGTGGTGTCATGACCATAAAACCTGGACATCAGGCAACAGGAAACATGGGCATGATGTGGTCAGATGAGTTGTCCTTTAAGGTGTTCCCCCTACATCAGGAAGTTTACATTTGAGAACACCCAAGGAAGCCTGGTTCCAACAGTAAAACACAGGGTAGCTTCTGTGATGGCTTGGGCAGCAACATCATGGTATTGTCAGTCCCATTATTAGCCATCATGGCCAAATTACTTCAAAGGAGTACGTGGACAGACTACATAATCAGGTGCATCCCATTCTAAAGACATGATTTCCGAACAACATGCAGCTATACAAGACAATACCCCCATTCACACAGCTGGAACTGTTCATCACTGTTTGAAGATCATGAAGGTGAACTTCAACATCTTCCCTGGCCAGCACAATCACCAGATTTGAACATCATTGAACCACTCTGGTCAGTTTTGGAAACTAGAGTGAGGAACAGATTCCCACCTCCAACATCTCTAAAGCAACTTGAAGATGTTCAAGAAAAATGGGACAAAATGCTGCTAGAGACAGTTCAAAACCTGTATGAGTCCATTCAGGGGCATAGGGTACATGGATGTGGTGGAAGCATTGCTTCCCTATAGAAAAGCAACCAAAAACATTTCTGGCAATTTTTCAATTTCAAAAAAATATTTCATACTTCAAAATATTAAGTAATCTGAGAACATATATTACATATAATGAGAATATTGCAAGTTTTAATGTGTTACATAAACCATTTATCAGGATAGATCACTTATTTTCTTCCAAAATGCAGGGAACTTTAAAATGTGCAAGGACGCAACAGGTTGTTCGCTTCCACGCTCATTCTGGTTCAACTGGGACTGCAATGTTGCCATATATGAGGAGTCTGTTGCTTAGCTAAACGTTACAGAATGCTTCCAGCAATGTTGCTGGCTGTAAGGTATTGCAGTATTCAGTTGGAAGTCAGTGACCTTGCAGTTACACAATTTTTCCTGGTGTGCTGAGACTTCGAAAATGCTCTTAGTAAAAAAGCGTGCTTACTAGTTTTCAGAAGAAGGTGTTAGCGTGTTACTTATGCACAAGTCAGTTTAGTTATCATTCTGTATTTTTCTCGATACAGAATTTGTTTCGCTTTGTGTAATTATAACTTTGTGACAATGTTTTTGTGTTAAGTTAGAAATGGAAACATGACACTTTCATGTGATAACCACTGTGTGATTGAAAAACTTCTTCAAACACCGTTCAGTTCACTCAGTTATAATGAGAAACTTAAGATAATAGAAGAAGGTGCACCTAAGCCTAATCTAACTTTACATACAAAAATGAAATCTTGCACACGCATTTGAATACCAGTTTATATGAGGCTATTCCATGGTTGTGTGGGTGTGATAAACTGAAAAAATTATTCTGTTGGCCCTGTCTCTTGTTTTCTAAAGAAAAACACGTGTTTAACGGTGCTGGTTAAAATGACATTAACAACATTTACAAATTTGGCAAAAGACACGGGCATTCAGTTAATCACATTGCTTGTCTTAAAGAAATTACACTCTTTGGTAAAAACAGAAGGATTGAATTTTCTCTAAGCAGCCAATACAAACAGTCAATTGAAAGACACAGTGAAGCTGTGAAACAGAACAGGAAATTTGTAGGCCAATTAATTACAGCAGTTTGTTTTCTGGGCTCTCAGGGTTTAGCATTTCGGGGACATGACGAAAGCGTGGCATCTGTTAATAGAGGAAATTACATTGAGGTTTTAAATATGCTGGCACATTATGATTCTGATTTACACAATCATTTCGAGTCTTCAACTGCTTTTCGTGGTTCTTCTCCTGACATCCAAAATGAATGGATACATTCTATATCTGAATTGATGACAATGGAAATTAAAAAGGAAATTTCAAAGGCTAATTATGTTTCTTTAATTCTTGATGAGACTTCAGATGTGATGATGAAGTGTCAGTTGGCTTCAGTTCTTCGATATGTGACAGCTGATGGCAATGTTGA